GATTGTTGGGTTATTATAAAGTCATTCAAGACTTTAAAATATCAAAAAAAGATAGTTAGTTTTTTGACATTTTCCCACTGTGCACCCCCTACTTATTTGCAAAAAATTGGCAGGGCTCCGCCGGGGCCTGGCCGAAATTCTATATATATTGGGCCTTCTCGGCAAAATTCTGCAGGGCTCCGCCGGGGCCCGGCCGAAAGTCAAGTTTAAATGGGCCTTATTGGCAAAAATTGGCAGGGCTCCGCCGGGGCCGCAGCCAAAAATCATTTTCAATACGCCTCTTGGCTAAAAATCGGGCAGGACTCCGTCAGGGTCCGCCTTAATTTAAGGGTATGGTACGCGCAGAGGCCCAAAGCAGAGACGATCTCCTCCGGCCCTATCAATACTGGGAAGGCGTACAATAGCTCAAAATAAAGATCTTCTTTATTACTTAGATCTTCTGATTTACACAAGCTTTTCTCGAAATTCAAACAAAAAGTCATGCTCGGATGGCTCAAAGTTGTCGTCTCGGTCAAAAATCGCGAAATAAGCCTATATTCAGAGATCTCCGCTGAAGTTACCAAAGGAAACCCACCCAATCCTTTTTTATAGTAAAGTTTAGACCCTAATCTTGATTTTTACACGAGCTTTTTTCAATTGGTCAAAAATTTTTATGTAAAAAATTTTAAAGTACGAAGGTACCTATTTTTCGTTCTTTTAGCTTCGTGAATTGCCTTGGGGGCATAGCCCAAAAGCGCCCGTTTTTATCGCAAATAAATGTCCTGAACGTGAGCTTTCCAAAAAGGTATTATATGACACCCTATCATAACGATCAAAAATTGTAAAAATTTTATAATTTCAGCCTTTTAGCCAAAATGCACTAATTTTTGCCACTTTCAATTGCAATTTGTGGGAAAATGGGTTGAGATAGAGATAATACTCATCAGGAGTTTTTTGGTCAGAATTTCATGGAGATTCAGAAAAAGTGGTCAAAACCCGATTCTGAGACTTGACCCTGTGCGCGTACCATACCCTTAAGTTTCAAATTTGCCTTTCTGGCAGAATTCGCGCAGGGCTCCGCCGGGGCCTCGGCCAAAAATCAAGTTTAAATACGCCTTTTGGCAATAATTGGGCAGGACTCCGTCGGGTCCCGCCTTAATTTAAGTTTTAACTATGCCTTTTCGGCCAAATTTGCGCAGGGCTCCGCCGGGGCCTCGGCAAAGAAATAGCTTTAAAACCTAGCAATCGCCCTTATCCCGACCCAAAGACCTCTCCTAAAGGCGTGTCTACCGGATAGCCCCTCTAAGAGCGAGCTCCCGATCCTTACACACAGCCCTGGAGGTAGGCCTTTCTCCAGCAAAAAGAGCTTGCGACCCGTTAACGAAATTTACATACTAAGCTTACTTCCTGCTAAGTAAGCATACTACTATTGTATTGACGGTAATTCGGTGTTTATTTGTGATTCTGGGGCAAGGCCAGAATGAGGGAAAATGGGCATAGTCAGGCATTTTTATAGGAGCGCTCGCTCACAAGTCTCACTTCAAGTTCGACTTTATTTCTGAGCTGCAGTTCCGAGTTGAGTGATGAGCTCGCGCTTCGCAGTTGGTGCTCGCGCTCGCCCCTCAGCTTCGGATTCTGTGAGCTTGGCTCGAGACTCGACTTTCGTTTTTGTAATCATAAGTTATGGACCATAACAACTCGATTCTTCTCGACAACTGCATGCCCTTGGAAAAAATGGAAATGACAAGGGTGGTCGAAGCCGCTGAACAACTCGACTTTGAAACTCTCAGATTAGCGGTCAAAAAAACCCTTATTTGGACGGCATAGGTAACAGTAGCTTGCGACTGCTTTGACGGAAAATATCAAAAATTTCGGCACTTTGGATCATCTCGAATCAGGAGACAAATCTTCTTCAAGAAGCGATTAAAATCACGCTTCTGCAATGAGTGAACCTTCAAAGCAACGGGCACGAGCGGCCTTGACGACTACTTTTGTGAGTTGGAAGCCTAAGTAGCCGCCACATGCTCAACGTGACCTGGTCTGATCAACTGAGTCCTGCATGCTTAAGGAAGAAAGAAGTCGCCCGGGCCTTGCGCCAAGAAGTCATCCTTTTTTGTACTATACTGAGGATCTTTATCCTTTGACACTAAAATTTTACCAAATTAAACGGTAAAGTTAACGAATGGAACTTTTAGACATAATGGAAAAAGTCGAAACGATACAGTCGACTGTAATTATCAACATCAACTCTGCTTGGGCTTTTCAAGGGCGATTTACAGTCCATCAACAACGTAAATGCTTGATGCACAGAATCCCGGAAATCGCAAGGGCAAAAACCTGCGCAGGTAATTGCTAATTCTGAGTGATGAAAATGACACTTTGATTCGAAAAGCGGTGGACACTGGAACACTGGATGTTCGGAATCAACAACCTTGGGTGCGGAAGAAAAAAGCAATGTCGATCTCGATGGGAAAGCCGAGGAAAATTAACCCAAATCAACTGACGTAAACACGACAGAATTAGCAACGTTAATCGACAGAAAAAGGTTACGGTGTCCAAAACAATTCCTATACTTCAGCTCGGAGACGGGATTTTCCAAAGAAAAAGCTTGAAGTAATTTCAATGGCAGAAAGAAAAAAGGAATGAGCAAGCAGAAAAGATTCGACATTGATCTAAGATGAAACGTTTTGAGCGCAAACTGCCTGAGAAATCGCAACACAGTTGAGCTTGCGACGTGCTACGAAACGATCTCATCATAACGACATAACAACGACGAAAAAAGATGGAAAAAATGAAGGAAGGCCCCAACGCGAAAACGACTCCTTCAAAAACTCGAACGAAAACAACATAAAAGGTATGTAAAGGGTTACTTACAAACAACAAAGACAGTAGTATAGAAATTATCGTGACATTATGGAAAGATTTTATCAAGCGCAAACTGATGCAATTAAATTTGGAAAAAAAAAACGAATAATGATCAAGAATCATGAAAAACTCACAATCAAAGCTGAACTAACCTCTAAAAGTTTTGGGATGTAAAAATGTTCTCGGCATAAGCCATATTTTTACGTTTTCGTTGGTTAACTGTAGACCGGTGACAGATGTACTAATCACCTTGCAGAGGGATTGGCAAAGAAAAAGATAACTTAGCCATACGCATGGATCATGCATGTGGTCTCACGCTTAGTAAAGGCATTTAACATAATAGGGATTCCATATGGAGGGCATTTGGTCTCCGTATACTGCCAGGGAGCCTCAGGCACCCCGTAAATGATGTTTGGCCATTTCACTACACGAAAGTGGGCCCATGGAGATTCACTTTGAAAAAACGTCTGTTGGAACGAATAAGCCTACCGATTTCTTTTTGCGTTAGAAATCAGTAAGTAAATAAACCACAAAGCGTGAGCAAATCAGCTCAAATTATAAGTTCAAACGGAACTTTAATCATTTTTGAATTTAATTGAGATAGGTCGCGAATAATAGCCAGCACTTGATAAAAACAAATATCTTTAAGAATAAAAGTATTCAAGGTGAAAAACTGATAGTTAATATTTTAATTTAAAAGTAATTAGTAATTTGTCAGCCATTAGGAAAATTTGAGGAAAAATGGCTTTCGTAACAACTTTTGAATAAGTTAATGATCTCAAAGAAAAATTATCGACTTCGAGTCACATGAAAGACCTGAGTCGGTGAAGAAGCTAATGTTAATGCTGCAAGGCTGCTCTGCTCTGAGCCTTGAATGCAATAAGGAGGCAACTCAGAAGCTTTAGCTTCTACGTTTATTTTCAAGATAGATAAGGATAAGAATGCCCGCCTCCGAGCTCTACTATTGTTTAAGTAATGCTAATCATTAGCGCCATCGCTGGCATAGTAAAGCTCGGTTGCAGGTGAGTTCAAGAGCACCTAATTCAGCTCTAACAGCTCTAACATATATTTCCCCTCCTGGGGCTCCTAATTTTTAGGTGCTGATGAACTGACAGTAAAATTGAGTTAGGGTTGTTAGTTGAGGATGGGAGTTCTAAAAAGATGTTTCGAATGTTTTGAATCATTTGACACGGAAATTGAGTTTTACATTGACAGTATGCAAAGACACGTTATATTTGAGAATCAGAGATCACAGACAAGTTGTTTAAAGATGTTTCATGGATAACTGGATCGACTTTACTTCTGAGTTCATTTTAACAGGAAATTATTTAAGATATTTTTGATGGCTCACTTCCCTTGGAAAATGTCTGACTTCTTTTCAGTTTCATTTTAAAAAAGGTGGATTAACGAATCTGTTAAGAACATGTTAGATTACTTTTGAGTTTCATTTTACTTATCAAATTTCATAATAATTATAAAAGAATGGTTTACTTTGAAATGAAGAGTGAATTGTACGTTTTCATTTTAGTGTTTACTATTGTTAGATTTGTTGGTTGAAGTTTTCACTTTTAAGGAGTAGTTTGAGTCCCGGTGGACCGCATCTCTCTTGTTTTGTCCTCCATGATTTCACTTTGTTGGGTCCCTTCCGTAGTCTCTCGTCTAAGTTCCGCCCTCCAGCGCTTGTACTCTCTTACTTTGCGTCGATGCATTCGCAGCTGATTGTTGAGCTTCCGCAGTTTTTCTTCACGGGTTTCTTTCCCCTCAGTTTTCATTTTGAAAAATATTGAGTTTTAGTCGCGTTCTTCTCTCGTTCGACCTTTCTGATGATATCTTCGGCGCTGGTTTTGACGCAGTTGGCCTTTCAAGAAACGAATATTTTACGATCGAAGGATTTTTGGCACATTTTTCTTTCGAAAATTCCTACTTTTCAAGAGATTATAAAGATGTTCTTTTTCGACAAAACTGAAGAAGCCGTTTGGTACAGGTGCTGTGATTGCGACTTCCTGAGTGAGGCCAGAAAAGCTGTAGTCGCCCATATGAAGAAGACGCACGCCCATTCTTCTGGGATTCCACGGTCAATCCCGTTGCATTTACGCGGCCGAGCGCTTTGTGTTTAACTGGACGCGTGTTTGGTCTTGTTCGAGAACAGACCTCACAGGCCAGCGCCCAATCGGATACACTTGTAGCCATGCCTTCCCAGTACAAGTCCATCGACTGAAGAATTTGCAGTTCCAGCCGGTTACTTCTGTGTGAGTGCAATTTTTGCATTATTTCCGGAACCATTTCTTCCGGAACACAGAGTTTCCCATGCCGTCGTAGAACATACGTTGTAGAGGGTGGTTCTAATTTAGCTTCGTAGCCACTCTTTTTCTGACGGCCGGCCAGAACACTCCTTACTTTCGATCGGATTGCTGGGTCGTCTTTCTGCCGGTGTTTCACTTCCGATATGATTGTGGCAAAATTTGGCCTGGTAACCGCTGGTGCTGTTTTCACCGCACAGATCTGGTGGATTCGCCTCCTGATTGTCGTTACAGGTTCCTCTTGATCATAATAGATTGTTGCTGGCTTGGCATCTATTCCGACCTTTTTGGTGTTTCCTAGTTTTGACCATACCGCTTGCGTAATTGAAGCTGCTAGCGGCGAGCTTCCGTACTGGAAGTCGATTTCCTCAGCTTGCTGAGAATCAAGAGGGATCCACTTGTCGGTTAAGGTCCGCACACTGAGTAATGGCTCCTTCGTTTTCTGGGCTATTCTGATCTCTGAGTCCTTTGTGATCACTTTTCTGCTCAGCAAATCAGTCAGCAAGAACCTCTCTTCTGTTCCTTTGAGCCATTCCACCGAAAAGTCAAAAAGAGCCAGGTAGAGGATAGCACGCGCTACAGGTCCAGTTCTGTCGAGGTAGATTCTTTTGCGACTCTGCAGAGTATGCAAGTTCGCTTGATTGTCTGTCTCTATGTGGAAGAACTTCCCTCTGAGCAGTTCCTCATTCGCTCGGACTCCAGCCGCGGTTGAGATGAGTTCCTTGCAACTTATTGCCCAACACAGCTGTGTGGAAGTCCACTGATTCGACGTAATCCTGATGATCTCTTCCTTATCTCCCCTTATTTGACTCAGAATCGAACCATAAGATCGCTTGGACGAGTCTGTTCTCAGGATGAATTTTAGGTTGAGATCGGGACATGTGAGTGTGTGTGCTTCCTCGACCGCCCTTAAGAGCCTGCGCCACGGTCTTTCTACTTCTGATTCGTCGAACTTTGCCGATTCTTTGAGCAAATCAAAGAGAGGTGCCGCAAACTCTGCGAAGCGTTCTACTGATGCCCGGTAATAGGCAAGTGCCGCCACACTGGACTTAAGCTCCTTCTTGGTTTTCGGCGTCGCGAGTTCCCTGATTTTGCTGATCCTTCCTTTTTCTGGCGTGTATCCTTTCTCCGATAACGTGTACCCGAACAGATTGATTGTTCTGGTTGCAAAGGTACACTTCTCCACGTTAAGTACGATGTTGCATTCGCTAAGTCTGTGGAGCAATTGTCTGACATCCTCAAGATGCTCCTCGAAGTTCTTACTAGCAGATGTCAGGTCATCGACATAGTTGGTGCAATTCCGGACTTTCGGCAAGATGACGTTGGAGAACAGACTCTGTATAAATACAGTAGTCGTTCTGCCTCCAAAGGGAGCTCGCCGATAGTAGAAAACATTGTTGTCCGGGTCCAAAACGTGTAGTATCGGAAGTTGGACGGATTCAAGCAAAATTGGTGGAAAGCGCTCGTCAAATCATAACTGGAGAAGAATTTGTTGTTTGACATCTTCGCCAGGATTTGAGTCAGCGGGGGCAACGGGAAATTGGTCTGGAGAGTGACCGAGTTTTGAGGTCGACAATCCAGGCACCATCGTATCGTGTTGTTCTTCTTTGGTACTGCCACCCATGAAGTGGTAACTACCATTTCCATGTCTGCCCTTGCCACCACTCCTTGCTCTTCGAGCACTTTGATGTGCTTTCGTAAGTCGTCCTTGTAACGCTCCGGTATAGGGATGATTTTTCTTAGCTGTGGCTGTTCCACCGTGTAGTCAATCTTGTAGCTAAACGGTGTTCTTGCTCCCGGCCCCAGATCATTTCTGTTCCTGCTAAAGACGTGTCCATATTCATGGAGAAGACTTAGCAGTTTAGCTTTGTCTTGTGGCCTCAAGGCTTGGTTGATGTTAAACGCTGAATCCGGTAGCTTTGGTAGGTTCTGGTATTTTCTCATATGGGGTGGGTTAGTAAATTCTGGTTGCGAATTTTCATCGACTTTGATCGGCAACACAGATTGTATCGGGACTGCATCTTCCGCCAAGTCAAGAAAGCTTGGGCTGTTGTTGACTATGTCGATCTGATTCCCCCTTGAGATGACCGGGATGTCATTAGCCATATTTCTGGTTTGGACGAAAGAGATGTTGTGTGCTGATACATTTCTGGATGTATCAAATGCCCAATGCTCTCGAGCTGGTACACTTGTAGCTGTATCCCCTTGTGGACTCAAGTTACTTCTAGGCATCCATGCTTCATCCCCGTCTTTATCACAGAAACCACTGTCCAGAGATTGGTTAGTGGTCGCAATCGTTCTGGTCTCGAATGGCTGCAGGCGGATTTTTGGCGTTTTGATAATATTGCCAAGGAGCTTGAGGTGATAGGTTTCAGCTGTATTGTCTTTTCTGATTAAGATCGCATGAGATTCGCTGTATCCGGTGAAGAAATTTGTAAGAAATTCGAAGTTCAAGATCATGTCAAATTTGTTCTTGATCTCCGTAATCATAAGATCGACTTCTCCAATTTTTCTGTTGTCTATCGGTGTTTTTAAAGTCGCAGCCAAAGTGCGCTTTGGCTCGGACTTGCAGATGCCATCGTAGCTTTTGAATGATTGTAGCCCTTGATGACATGTCGCATGTTCTGCAAGTGGATGATTCGCGTCTAGCAAAGCTGGAGCTGCGCCTGAATCTAGCAGGCACTTTACTTTGGTGATAACAGGTTCTTGATTCCATTTTGATTCAATATGTACAGCAAGTTCAACAATTGGTACTCCAACCATTACGCAAAGTCTCTGCGTGGCACCGAGTGATCTCGTTGCCCGTCCTCTCTACTGACGGATCGGTCCTTGGAAGGAGAGCGACTTTCTCGCCTTGGGTGTGGAGTGCCACTTCTTCGCTCTCTCTCCTTCGAACTATGCCGGTTGTTGCTGTAATTCTTGGAGTATCGCCGTTCTTTCTCTCTTCCTCGGCTATAGCTTCGTTGACGGTACTGGTCGTTCCGTTCGTCTCGCCCTCGGCTTGAGCTTCTATCTTTCCTTCGGTAGTAACCGTCCCGGTCTCGGCTGTTACCTCTCGAGTACCGCTGCTCACGTCTTTCTTGAGACCGCCGGTACTGGCCTCTTATTCTTGCATTTGCCGCACAATCCTTTGACGTGTGACCGCGATTTCCACAGGTACTGCACCGTTCGTTGTAGTTGTAGCCGTTTAGTTTTGATATTGCTGCAACGATTGTCTCCACCAGTCGCTCTGTATCTTGTTGCTGGTTTCCCCACGGCGTTGCTGCAACTTGTCCGACCGATGCAATTGTCGTGGTGCTCTGGCCCAAGTTGGATGCAATGCTATGTGCCACTGTACCCAAGTTAGCAAAGGGCACTAAGTGTCGCTGCAGTCTCAGCTGCTGGGCCACATTGGCATCACGGAGGTTTCTCACGAAATGATAGGCAATATCATGTTGACGATCAGGTTCTTTGACGTCCTCCGGCGATCGCGGCACTTGTTGGTTTTTTGAGAGGTAATACTCTCTAGTAAGACGCCGAAAGAAACTCAGGCAAGATTCACCCGGCTTCTGAAGACATGCCTCTAATGCTGCTCTCTTGTTTTCCTCGCTTCCTCCATGAGCTTTCCTGATGTAAGATATAAAGGAATCCACATTTTTGCGCTGCAGATCATCTAGCTCTCTCAAGACGTCCAATTTATTTGATTCGTTCAGGGACGCATAGATAAGAGGTTCATCCTCTATTATCCGCATATCTCTGAATACTTTCAACGCATCGACGTAGTCATGCAGTGCTCCAACAGCATCTGCTCCCTCTGCTGATCTCCACTTTGGGACCTAGACATTCGTCTTCAGGTTAGTTGTCATTGTTCGCCCGAACGCGTGTCTCTGGTCCTGTTTTTCTCTCTCAGAGTGTCTCGGAGTCGAGCGAGATCTCGGTTGTGGTGGTACCCTTCTCTGCTGAGTCGTGGTCTGAGAGTCAGCTCGTAACCTAGCAAGTTCTTGGTCTAAAGGTCGGCTGCCACTGGAAGCCGACGACCTATTGTCGGCGCCATCGTAATCCTTGTCGGCAACACTGTCAGGTTGATTTCCCAGGTACGGTGAAGCGGCGCCATGATGGTTGGTGCCCTTCTCTCTACCCGGCAACCTGTCATCGTCATCATCGTTGCCATTTCCCATGGTTGGCATTGGCGTCTCCGTGCCGGCAATAGCAGAGGAATTTTGCTTTATCGACGTGTTTGCCAATCTCGACCTGTCCCTTTCTGTTTTCACCTTAATCGTAAGTTCGATATTCTTTTTTTCCAGTTCAACAGATTTTTGGACGAGGTTTACATTTTTCTTGCTTATTTTCTCACACTCGCGTGTTTTCTCCACCAAGTTCTTTCTTGCCATATCAAGTTCATCCGTTAGATCTGTGTACGCGCATTCTTGCTCCCGGATCAGGTTGTCCTGTTCCGATTGCTTTTCTTTGAGTCTATCGACTTGACTGCTGAGATCCAGTACTTGCGCTTGTAGTCTTGGTTTCTCTTCATGTATAAAGTGATCTAACTGTCCCTGAAGCTGTTTTCCCCGTTCCTTGAATTCCTTTAGTTGTCGTTCAAGTTCTTGCGTGCGTTTTTTGTTTTCGGCTTCCATAGATTTTCTCGTGTTCTGATATCTTTCTTCATCGCTACTTCGCCTTTCTTCCATCTCGTTTATCAATGCATTATACTGATTCATTTTCATGGTCATTGTATGTTGCATGTTTTGAGAATTTTCAAACATTTTTTCGACTTCTTCCACCAAGTGGCTTAGTCTTGCTACTTCAGTCATTTGATTTTCATTAACCGTGATTGTTTCAATTCTGTCTAGTACCGTAGGGTCGATTTTTGAGATGAGTTCTACAATCCGCGATGTATCAACCATTTCTCGAGGTCGAGGTAGCTTGAAGAAATCCTTCTTCACTCGTTTGTCCATGTTACCAACTCTTTTGAAGCGATGTGGGTCGAGGCCATATTCCTCGATTATCTCCGCCATATCAAATTTGGAAAATCTGATGGGGACAGCTGTGATCCCTTTTTTGTCATGTTTTTGTTTTAGCTTCTCCAATACTTCCTTCGGGGTTAAGTCTTGCCATTCACGTTCAAGTGAACCGATCACCTTTAGTAAGGTGGTATCCTCATCTAGGATACTGTATAGAATTCTCATCTCTCCTCTCTCTTCTCTTGATGGGCGTTGGTCCTTCCAAGCACCCGAAGTCACCAAATGTAAATGCTGCAAGGCTGCTCTGCTCTGAGCCTTGAATGCAATAAGGAGGCAACTCAGAAGCTTTAGCTTCTACGTTTATTTTCAAGATAGATAAGGATAAGAATGCCCGCCTCCGAGCTCTACTATTGTTTAAGTAATGCTAATCATTAGCGCCATCGCTGGCATAGTAAAGCTCGGTTGCAGGTGAGTTCAAGAGCACCTAATTCAGCTCTAACAGCTCTAACACTAATTTACTTTTGGTCGTGGTCCGGGGACCGGAATCTAAAACGACCGGGAAATGTTTTTTGAAAAGCGCAGCTTTTAACCAGAGTTAATGTCCAATATAAGTTCTCTCAAGATTGAGAGCTAATGGAGCGTGCCTAACAATTGTCCAAACTTACAATGGAAAATAACTCGTAACCCCACCAAATCAAGCCAAAAAAATTCGCATTAATGAAAACAAGGATCAAAACTAGTGCAGAATATTTCTTCTAAATCCAGGTTCAAGGGAACCTGGACCTACTTTCAGAATTTCTCTATCATTACCGGTTGATGAACTAGAGAGAAAAAGAGAAGAGCAACTTCAAAAGGCATCAAGTCTTGCGAACTTAATTTTATCTTCCTAAAACTAGGAGTCCTAGTCTAGGACCATTGAAAAGCCTGTTAAATTCTGCACAGATTACACCTAATGCGCAAATACGGGACAGAACCTATTGGCGATAGAGGCTTGATAAACAAGATAACTGAGCGCGCGCTCAGCGGGAATCATGTCCCGGAAGGCCAAAATAGCTTCATCAGAGCGTTCTACTGCGCCGCGACCAGCTGAGCGCGCTAAGTAACTTTGTTTTTTTGGCGTTACTTGGCGATAAGTACGTATTGAGCTTTGCGCATTAGGTGGAATCTGTGCAGAATTAAACGGGCTTTTCAATGGTCCTTGTTTCAGGAAGATAAAATTTGAATAGCAGGACTTGATGCCTTTTGAAGTTTCTCTTCTCTTTTTCTCTCTAGTTCATCAACCGATAGAGATAGAGATCAACCGATAATGATAGAGAAATTCTGAAAGTAGGTTTAGAAAGCTGAATGCTTGCAGATATGATTTGCAAAAAGATATTCTTAAAAATCTCACTTCTAAGATAAGCTGCGAGCCCGTGAAGTTCGGCTCCGCGCTGCTCGCCCAGGTCCCTTTAACATCAATTCCAGCATCTAAAAACGGATTGCGAAAAACGCAAGTTTTTTTACGGAAAGTGAACTTTATTTATACTGTTACAGTTCTTTTTTTACAGTTTTTGCTAAAAGCTCTTCTTTTGAAGAAACATAGCTAAAACGATGAAATTTTCAGCTGTTAAAGACATCCATTATTGTTTGCTGACAGAAACTATTAGAACTCTGATTCAGATCATGAGTAACAGAAACGATTTTTCGAGTGTTCGCCTTGAAAGAGCCGGTAGAACGAGCTCTGTCAATAGAAAAGCCGAAGAAACACCCATCAATTGGCTCGTTACAACAACTTTCATGTTCGTTTCCGTCGAAGGATGCCGAATAGTAACGCCAAACCCTGAGGAAGTCTGCGTTTTTTGTTCAACGCGAGACAGTGAATCAAGTATGAAGATGGGTATCAAAGCAAAATGTGGGCACTTTCTTCACATAAACTGCTTCTTTGAGCGATGCCAAAAATATGATCATTGTCCTGCTTGCTGGGACTTGATGGGACTTCGTCTCTTTACCACACACATGGAGAATCATACAAACGGCCGTTTATGCCCGATTTGTCGAAAGGGGAACCCCATAGTAACACTGCGCTGTCTTCACTCCTTTCATCCTGAATGCGCCGTACAATTCGCTCGTTAATTTCGCTCTTATTACCCTGGGTTTTTTTACAACACTTGAGGACGAATTAAAGTGCCATGACATGATTGACAGCAAATTTCACGGCAAAATGGTGCTCTGAAAAATCAGAGGCGCTGCCGGACACGGGTAAATTTTCACCATCAAAGGTCCTATTTACTTCTAAAATAAGCATGAGTATTTACTGCTACACGGCAAGCAGCTCTAATCGTTCCGATTTTCGGCTAATCGGAAGCTCATTGATCGCCAGAGCCGAATGCTGAGCTGTCAATCACGAGTCAGCAAGAAAATTATTTATTGGCTCGTAAATCGCCGGCGCTAACCCTTCGAGAACGGGATGAGGTGCAGGGCCGTACTCAACAGCGCCGGGGGTCTATCCGACGCTGCGGCACTTCCCCACACTCACCCCCTCATGAATTTAGAAGAGCTTTATTGAAAATTTTCTTCAGTTAATAATTTGTGTAATCAGTATTTAGAATAGTCAAACAAAATAAAGAGTAAGAATTCAGGAACAGAAAATTCTTGTCAAACAAATTTGTCGTGATTGATAATCGTGATTAATAATGATGCGATGGAAAATTCACATATGACGCGGCCAATCATATCGCTATCGTGTGAACAGACAGGTTTGTCTTCTGATAATGATAATAGTAGTATGTACATAAGCTTTTTTCAATAATGGAGATAATGTAAACAAAGGAAGGTAAATAATTATAAATATTTATGAAATATATAAACAAGTTAAAATATTTATATTAAATGTAAACAATTGATAAATATTATTAAACTCAATATAAAATATAAACATGAGTCATCCAAACAAAGGAAGGAAAACAAAAAAAACAAAAAAGTTTCTAGAAGGTTATTTTAATAAGTTCAAGTTATTCAAATAACTTGTTATTTAAACGACTTGTTATTCAAATAACTTGTTATTAAAATAACTTGTTATTCAAATAAATTGTTATTAAAATAACTTCTTATTCAAATAACTTGAACTTATTAAAATAACCTTCTAGAAACTTTTATGTTGGTTTTAACAAAAACAGCGAGTCTCAGTGGGCAATCGCTAATCCACCGAGGAAAATCATGATCAGAGGGTTGTTGCGACGGTCCAGCTGATCTGCACAAGGTTCACTTTTCGGAGGGCCATGAGCATTTTTGCTCAAAAATGCTTGTCACCCGCTTGGTCACCCAAGCTTGTCACCCGCTTGGTCCGATCATTTTGTCACCCGCCTGTTCGGGGCCAGGCGAAGACCCAAAACTGACCCCGAGATGAGACTTTTCAAATATATACATGAGTAGGGTTTGTATCGCAAAAGCGGCGCGCGGCATGGCGCTTTTCGCCCAAAATGACGGAAATCTATTTCGTTCTTTCAGATAAAGTTTCAATGAAAAATACTTTCTGGATACTAAAATGATGAAATTTCTTCATAATTTGCTCATCAAAATTAATTGTACCACCAAAAAGCGTTAAATCGTGCCGCACCCAGCTTCAAAATTTCTGATTTCAAGATATATTAAATAATTGTTATATGACAATTACATATAACATGAGCCATCCAAACATAGAAAGAAATTCACTTTTATGAGAACTAATCATCAGGATCGAAATTTCATCTTTCAAAGGATCAAATAACTAATCGATTTCCGTTTCAAAGAGGTAAAACAAATAGACGGACTCAGTGGGTTATCTCAAAGAATGTGACTCCCTCTTTTGGTTTATTTTCGAATCAAGTTCGCTCGAGCGGCGAGATTCTTGACACTCGACATAAAATGAAACAAGAAGATGAATAGCATGAACAGTACTTATACTTCTAAGAGAAAGTAAAATGAAACTCTAAAGCACTTATTCCTTTGTAAGCTACTCTCAATATTTCTATTTCTGTAAAATGAAGCTTGATATTTATTTATCGTTATCGTCATCTGATATCCTTAATAAATTATCTTAAATATAAAAAAACGTTGTTTTATTCAAGAAAAGTGTTAATATGAAGTACAAAAGAAAATTTATCTGGATTGCAGAAGTCAAGCTAAAAATATGAGCAACACTATCGAGTTCCTTGCAGCTACAGAGTGTTATTGGAATAAGAGATTTTATCCAGCATGGGGACTGAGCTCAAGCTGAAACGGAGTATTGTTGGGCTAAGACCAGCTTTTGAAAGTATTACTCGGCTCAGGCCGATTCCAAAGGTATTTTTGGGATCAGGCCGATTCTTGAAGGTATTTTTGGGATCGGGGCGATTCCTGAGAAGATAAAAGGTTTTCATCTTTATTGCAAATAATATGAGAGGAAAAATATATATTATAGTTTACGGATTGACATAAGCAAATAAAGGGTGTTGTTCGATTTAGAGCAGTCTTCAGGAATTGACTGGACTCAGGCCAGTTTCCGGCGGTATTACTGAACTTAGACCAGTTTTCAGAGGTTTAACTGGACTCAGGTCAGTTTTCGGAGGTATTTCTGGGAACGGGCGAGTTTCCAGAGTTATAACTGAGCTAAGGTCAGTTTTGGAGGTATAACTAGGCTCAGACCAGTTTCCAGAGGTTGTAATGGGATCAGACCAGTTCCCGGAGGTATTACTGAGCTTAGGCCAGTTTTTGAGTTTTCAGCAGAGGTTTTGTTGCTCTCGGACCTCTGGTCATTTTCAATTTTCACAAAAAGTCTTTTGAATTTCCAGAGAAGGTCTTTGCGAGTTCAAGAATATCAATAACCTCAGTATAATTTTTAAAATTGCGAATATTTTAATTGAATACTACGACTCAAAAGGGCCTTATGCTTGAGAGATAAAATTTTGAAACTGAGATAAAGAAACACAAGATTAAGTTTAGATATATTCATTGTTCGCCGACTTTCCCAGATAAAAGGTCGAAATTTTCTATTTTTTTATCGCTTTAAATTTTTCATGTTTTCCGTTGTCTTTTAAATATATTTCGATCATCACTTA